CCAGGTTTATGATTTGTATCAATTGTGAGTCTCATCTCAGAATTCTGAACGGATGATAATTATGAAATTTTCCCTTGGAATGTTTAGCAGGGGAAAAGTTGAAAAGGGCAGTTGGAAATTTAATGGAGATTATGTCATTTTGCCTAAATTTTGGTCCAAGCATCGAAGCTCATTTTTGCCTTTTTTCATTGTCTATTTTGGTTCAGCACGGAACCTAGCTATGATTCCATAAACCTTCCTCTATAGATCCATGGAACAAAAATTGCCTATTTTTTTATCTATAAGCTTTGATTCCATTGAATTTCATCAACACATTACCTATTGTGGCTGGACATTATTAGTGTAGACTCTAATCTGCGTACTGCATAAATCTATTTCGCAGCATTCACTTTCATAACAGTAAACATATAAAAGCTCCGAAGTCCTGTCCTTGGCCAAGGACTATAAAAAACCTAGAGTCAAAAAAGGAGGGAACAATTGATGTTGGTGGTCCATTTAAGATAACAAATGCAAAACCAATATTAAAGAATCACATGCATGCACCGGTTACAGAAAACTCCCGGGAGCTAATAATGCCATAAGCAAACGAAAGCAAACGAGTGCGGAGAAGCAATGGAGGGTTCAGCTCTATATGTAGAAAGAAACCACCCATCGTTATGAAAAGCATCAACTTCTTCACTAAACTTAAAATCCCTCTTCTTCTCTCTTGGTGCTATTGGCCTTATTTGGAACTCATTAACGGTTTCTTCCAAGGGTTTTGTCCCTTCTTCATCTTCAAACAGTTTTTCATAGCGGACTGTGAATTCTGGGGTTCTTGTTGCCTTCACCACTGTTCCTATGTAGAATGAGCCTCTAAACCCTGCCTCGTCCGACATGATTTCTACTTTTGAGCCTGGTTTGAAATTTGGGTCTTGATTGGATTTTGATTTTGGCGCCATTTTTGGTGGTCTGCTAGGGTTAGGGTTTGTTCAGGATTTGATTTTCTGAGATAGATTTTGGCGCGCTAGGGAGAGGGGATGGAAGGGGAAGGAAATGAACCTGTTGTGGATGAGGGAAAGAAACAAGTTTGGGGGTGGAAAATATAAAAACGTGTCTAAACGTTGAAACATTTGGGAAACTTTTGGAAAGTGATGAAAGTATAGTTCCAGTTGTATAATATAGGATTTTTATTTCTTTTATTTTTGAGAATATATTATAAATTATGGTATAAATTGATTTTTGAAATATTTTTTATTTGAAAATATATTAAAATAATATATTTTTTATTTTTAAAAATTTATTTTAATTTATAAAACCAATCTAAATATATAAAAATAATAATTTTAATTTTAATTTTTTTTTTAAAATATAATTTGATCACAATGTTAAATAAAACTATATAATTAAGAAATCCACGTACACAATGCACTATGATTGAAGGGATTGACTCTTGAACAATCAACTTAAATTATAATTATTTAAAAAATACGTAAATTAATATTGTTTTAAGTTCTGTTTTAAAAAAAAAATAAACTCAAAGTCAAATTTAACTTAATCAATATTAACTTCTAAAATTATAATTATATGTAAAAGTGTATATTATGTAATTTATCCTCGTAGATGAAATCAAACCACGTAAAACACGAGTGGAGAACATTACCTGCAATTGAAAGGTGTGAAGCAACTCTTCTCACCTCTAACAAGAAGGTAAGAGCTCAAGGAACAAAACCACAAATAAACGCATGAGCATGGCAGCTTATCTCTTGGGTTGCTGCAGCCAGAGTCACCAAGGGACTCTAACATCAGACAGCATCACTCCACAACTTTCATCATCATCAACAAGAACTCTAAGGAAAATTAAACTAAATGAATACTTGCTATTTACTACACGACCACAACAATTAAGGTTACTAGTATAACTCTAATTTCAATGGTGGCGGTTATCTGGAAATGAAAAAAAAATAAAAATGCTGTTTTATTCATTCACATCGATAAAACAATTTTCTTAGAGACTGCTGGTTTTAACAAACAGCAAGTAGAACAACTTTATAAGGATTCAGAAGGTCCCAGCATGCAGCAGCTGTACAACATGTACTACACTGGCCCGCGCATCCATCCCTCCCTGAAAGCAAACTGTTCAGAAGTCGCAGCCAACGAACGGTGCAATGGGGCATCACTTCACAAATACAGCTTATCTGGCCACTGCGGCCACGCACATTGCATGTTTCCAGCTCTGCCAGCTGAGTACCTACGAACCAATCTCCGATCTGATGTCTGGTCATTAGAAACGAGAAGTGAGACAAATTGAATTTATCAGGTATAAGAAAGAGGATTTACCTTAACTAAGCCTCAAGTCTGAAATGGTTGGAGTTGGCAACATGAATCATCCATTTCTGCTGTGTAGGCTGAGAATGCCATCAAAGTTGGCGAAAGAATGGAGCTATTATCCTTATGTCATACGAACATCACACAGACACAGAAGCTGAATCATGACCAGGTCGGTAAACATCATCCTTCATGTGTTTCCTTAATCTCCATATTGCCCCTTGTATCTCTTCGATCTGTGGATGTATTTGATCTCCCACAACAAATTCGTGAACATGATGCAAGGCAATACTTAATTAATTTAAGTATATCCATTAATTTAGTGGAAGACAAAATTAATGGAAGACAAAAATTAGTGGAGTATTAGTAGAAGACAAAAATTAGTGGAGATAAATTGTTGGTATAATTTATACCATAATTTATGGCCTTTGTCCCCTTACTTTTCCTATAAATAGGCAATGCCTCCAAACTTATTATTCACACCAAAGAAGAGAAGTGAAGAGTGGAGAGAAGAGAGAGTAATCCCACAAAATTATGAGGTATTTATGAGAGAGTAAGCGAGGTGTTTTCCCCTAATAATAGAGAGATTTTAGTTGTTCTCCTATTACTTGAGAGAGGTTGTAATTCTCATTTTACTTAGTAAAATCTTTCTATACTTGCTTGTGGACATAGCTCAAATTGGGTGAACCACGTAAATTCTTGTGTGTCTCATTTCTTATTTTATCTTATTCTTTATCTTTTATCTTGTCGGGTTTGCATGCCAGCGTTCTAACACATGACTCATGAGCTCAATCCAGCTACACCCAGTTTCCTTCCTCACTCGTCGAACTTTCATCACCCTCCTAACCCGTACCACATCTGCTAACCTGCCCATGGTAGTATAGATACTCGACAATAAAACATAAGCTGATGATTCTCGTGAGCCCAACTCCATTAATTTTTCACCAGCATAGGCTCCCAATTCATAATTACAGTGGTTTCAGCAGGCAGGCAGTAAAATTCGCCATAAGCACTTACCATGATCTATGGCAGCTGATTCAATAAATTCTTTAGCTTCTTTGAGCTTCCCCGCACGACTCAGGACATCAACCATGCAGGCAGGCATAATACTCTACTCTTGGAACTAAACCAAATTCATCAAACATCATGTTGAGATATGTCCAACCTCTCTTCACAATTCCCATATGGCTACAAGCAGAGTGCACTGTCACAAATGTGATATGGTCTAGCTTGGTGCCCTCTAGAGGCATCTCCTCAAAGAGTTCTAGAGCTTCTCTACCATGCCCATTTTGGGATAGTCCTAATATCATTGCATTCCATGAGACGATGTCTCTCTGCAGTATCCTTTTAAAGATGAGGAATCCCTCTTCTAGACTCCCACATTTTGCATACATAGTTGAAAGAGCAATTCTGATTGAAAGTTCTGGACCCAATCCATACTTAATGGCACGGGCATGTATTTGCTTTCCTTGTTCTGAAGTAACAACATAACCTGCTATGATGGGTGTCTAAAAAACAAGATCAGGTTCTAGCAAAAAAATCAAACCCTTTCCCAGCATCTTTATTAAAACAAAACTTTGCATGCATATCAATCAAAATTGTCACTATATAAATTTGAGTCTTATATCCTGACTTCAATAAATAACGACATAACCTGCTATGATGGATGTTCAAAGAAAAAGAGCCTCTTCATTTTTTCTATTTTGTGCATAACCAAGTGTGATGGATGTTCAAAGAACAACATCAAGTTCTAGCAAAAAATCAAACCTTTTCTGATCATCTCAAAAATCAAACCCTTTCCCAGCATCTCCAATAAAACCGAAATTTATATGTATATCAACCAAAGCTGGCACTATATCGATTTGAGTCTCATATCTCAACTTTAATAAATAGTCATGCATTTGCTTTCCTTCTTCAATGGCAGCCACATCACTACAAATTTTAAGAACCCCAAAAAGAATAAACTCACTAGGTACAAACCCAACATAATGCATCAACAAATAATAATATATAAGTTAAATAACATTCAGACTATACTTAAATTATTATAGAAACATCACGACAGTTTAATTATAATCTTTAAATTCCACTCAATAAAATCCAATTTCTTTAATCTTAGAAAAGTTGGTGGATATAATTTCAAGGTATTGTTTATATACTCGTATTTGTATGGTCATAAACAATGAAGAATAGCCTAAACTGTTTAAAAAATAAATTTTAATTTATTTTTTTATTTAATTTATTTAAATTTTTAGCCGGGGCATATTAAATAGATTTTATTTGCTAGTTTTTTAGAGTTTTAATATTTGTATTGCATTCTTTCAAATATTAGATGGTTGTTGAATTAAATAAAAATTACAGAATTACAAATTTTTCATACTCCATTCTCTCTCTCTCTTCAATCATTTTTTTCTTTTTGTTTGGCTTCTTCTTGTTCTTGGCTTCTTCTTTTCTCTCATGGTTAATTACTTCATCCTCAAACCTCCTTTGTCCCGCATCAAATACATGACGCATATTGAGGAAATGACCTTTCTACCTTTTTGAGTTTGCACCATCAAATTGTAACCCGTGATTTCATCACACTTTTTGACTCACCAATTCCCTGCCCTCCTTGCTGCAAAAGCTGCCTGAAAGGGGGGAAAATAACAAGAAAAAATACTAATTCAAGCTTCAAGTCCAGCAGGAACACAAGCTAGTTCTAGTAAAAGAATAATTTAGAGAATGGTTAGATTACAAAAGAAAATATGAAGAGAAGGCCCTCGTCCCAAGTTTTCCTACATGATTGAAGAAAGGCTGGTGCGGATGACTTACAAAGAGACTATATCAGAAACTGGATTCAAAGCTTCTCAGTTTATCTTAGTGAAACTATTAACACTACAGCTGACTATGCGCTCTTTATCATGGTATCCTTCTAGCTAGACACTTGGTTGCAGGTGCTTGGAGGCTGAACCAGGCTCCTTTGAGATCGTTAGATGCATCTCTAGTGGTGCTGACCATTGTCATCCCCCATTTTAAATCTCATGCATGACATTATCTCTATACTGCAAATGTGCAGTGAAGACTGGATCCTTCATGATTCAGGAAATAGACAAAAATATGTGTTGGCTACTTTTGCTCAAATTGGCTGAAAGAACCTGGATGTTCAGCGCAAGTGTGGAAGTTTCCGCTGCTTGGTTTGTGAGTTCCTCATCAAGCTGATTACATATAAAGAATTACACAGAGCACAAGATTACTCAAGTTCCTTTGAAATTTTGGTTTGAGATGGTAGTGTGTGGATTTCTGCATTCAAACAGTACAGGAAAAGTTAAGTACAAAAAATAAGGGGTCACAAATTTCAGCTAGCTCCAATTTGATTCAGCTTAAATTATTACCACTGATGATAGATAAGAATGAATTTATCAAATGTACAAAAATTAGCATGCACCTGTGTTGTTTGATGCCTGCAATATGTAGGGGTATGGGCCATTTATTATTTCAAATTCAACAGATGAACTTCCCAAGAAAGATTGAAATTTACTTAATCCATCACATTTTCCTTCTTCCAATTTTCTCCAACTTGGGGTCATGTTTATCAAACAGTTGAGTTTTCATAGGCCTCAAATTTTCCTTTTTCATCTTTTCTCAACTTCTAATCAAGTGCCATCTTCTTGGTCATGTATTAGGCAATCAACTTCAGGCACATAGCCAGCCTCTTTCATATGCTGTACAGGTAATTCCAGAACTTCATAAACCCACTCTTTATGAGAACCCATCTTATTTCCAACAACAAAACTGTAAACCTGGTTTCGTACCTCAATCCAGCTCCTCCCAGCCACTTTTCTACACCCTGCTCTCTTCATCAACTTTCTCATTCTTGCAGCTTCTCCCCATTTGCCTTCTGCAGCATAAATATTTGACAGCATCACATAGGTCTCTACCATGTTTGGTCTCAAAGCCAATGCCTTCTTAGCTGCCAATTTCCCCAACCTTGAAAAGTTATGTGCCTTGCAAGCACCAAGAAGTGCACCCCAAACAGACTCATCAGCCATAAATGGCATGCTTCGTATTAGTTGATAGGCCTCCTCCACTCTCCCTGGTCTCCCTAGCAAATCTACAACACAGCCATAAATCTCCTGATTTGGCTTGATGTGATAATCATTTATCATACAGTTGATGTATCTCAAGCCTTGATCAACTAGTCCAGCATGACTGCACGCACTTAGAACTGCCATAAACACTACCTGATCAGGTCTGATGCCTGACTTGACCATCTCATCAAACAACTCAACAACCTTTTCACCGTATCCATGAGCCCCATATCCAATCATCATAGAAGTCCAAGAGACCAAATTTCTACAAGGCATTTCACTAAATATTTTGTGTGAATCAAATATATTACCACACTTTGCATACATATCAATCAAGGCATTAGCCAATTCCAGGTTTCTGTCAAGCCCTCTGCGAAAAATTCCTCCATGAACTTGCTGTCCACAACACAAAGCTGCTACATTCGCGCACGTTGCTATTAGACTGGTAAAAGTGAAGCAATTTGGAGTAAAACCTTCTGACTCCATTTGTGAAAATATAAATAGAGGCTCAATGGAATCCGATCTTTCATACCCTGCTATTAATGTATTCCATGTGATCAAATCTTTTTCAGTCATATCATTGAAATACTTGTTTGCCTCAGATAAACATCCACACCTACAATACATATCAAGTATAGAATTCATGACAGGAAGATCGGATTCAAACCCATGTTTGATCACCGCTGTGTGTATTTGCCTGCCAAAATTCTGTGAGCCAATTGAGGCACATGCCCTAACAGCTATCGAAATGCTATGTGGGTTCATTGCTACTCCGTCCTGTTTGTCATAAAAGCAACAAAGTCACGCATTACTACAATATTCATAGCATCATGAAAATTAAAACCACTTAACAAGCTAAGGCCACTGTGTGCTATAATGGTTAAAGTACTGCTTTTGACATGTTAAGTCCGTTACATGATTGAGTTTATTCCTAAGGTTGTTTGTTCATCCACTTACCAGTAGCATTTCCCGGAACATTTGAAGTGCGCGATTGCCATTGCCTCTGTGAGTGTAACCAGCAATCAAGGTAGTCCAAGACACAACATTCTTCTCTTTAATATCGTGAAAAACAACACAAGCATCCCTCATTCCTACACCACAAGAAGCATACATATCCATGAGAGCATTATCCACATAAATAAAACCCTCCATAAACCTTCTTTTAATAGCCAATCCATGGACCAAACTCCCACAAAAAACACGCTTCATGCCTTTGCAAGCCTTTAGAACGCTTGATATTGTGAACGCATTTGGTGGGTCATTTCCTTTCTTTACCATATCGACAAAAACACTCCATGCTTGAGTGTATTCATTGCAATGCGTGTACCCTGAAATCATCGTCGTCCATGCAACAACATCTCTCTCAGGCATTTCATCAAACAAGTTGCGTGCTTGACTAGTTAGGCCTCTTTCAAAATATGATTTCAAGAGGTCTGTAGCTAAAATGGAGGTACCCTTTGCATTAAAAGGTGTACCTGATTTCTGGGTCGGGGTGTTTTGGGTCCACTGTAGGTAGTTTTTCAACATGGGTGGGAAAGGATGGAAGTTATTGGCGGAGAGCAGTCTTTTTGTGCTCATGTCTAGTGTACATTGTCATCGTCTGTACTTTTGGTTCATAGTCTAAACTTCAAGCATTCTATAGTGTTGAGAGGGTATGGAGTATGTTGGTGTCTGCTTCGAGATCACACAGACAAGAAGTCTGATGTAACTGAATCTGGCATTTGTCCCAGTTCCACAAGAAGATGATTACTATAGGCTCCTTTTGTTGGGCCCAAAAGACGACGACTTGACGTAAAGTCTTTGCTGCAAATGGTCATGACTATGAAGCCGTCGTTCAACACCTTCAAAGACTCTATTTTTAGCCACGAAAGAACTGGAATTTCAAAGAAAAATTTTGAAGATCATATTGTTTATTGTACAAGGCTAAATGCAAGACAATTATTCAACATCATTTGTCGAAGGGCTGGCCTTACAATTAAGGGTGTGTTTTTCCTGTTTTCTTAATAAAGTCCTCACAAATTCTCTCGTTCTTATTGAATGTACTCCAGAGATACGCTTAAGGGTGTGTTTTTCCTGTTTTCTTAAGAAAATCCTCACGAATTCTCTAATGTACTCCAGAGATGCACAAACCACCTTGTGACAAATACCATCTTGCTGTAAGAATTTTAATCGAAAAAATATTTTTGAGAAAAACATAAAATAAATACTTTTTTAAAACAATTTAAAAATAAATTTATATCTTTACAGACAAGGAAAAACATTTCCTGTCTTTGTTATCAATCCAGACGCTACATGTCACTTGACCATCTATTATGCCACGAGCATTTGAACCCTACTAGTCACCTGGGTTATATAGTCACGGCTCACAACTATAGAACTCTCTCTTTATAAAAGAATGCAAACCCAATATGTGATTATCAGCAAATATGCACTGTATAGCCCACTAAACAAGAAAATAAAATATAGGTGAAGTAATTCCAAGAAAATCCTAGCTTGATAAATTAGAAATGTGTTTATCAAGAACAAAGTAATAATATACAAACTGAATATGACAAGGGGAAGAACCATAAAAGCTTTCGTCCCACAGGTCATTGAAAACACAACACCGATCAACTTAGCTAATTAGTCGGCTAATTAACGTTTTATTAAACAGGATCTATGGTCTAGTTGTGTGAAGATGCTGCTCCTGGTATACCTTTGTATCTTTTGTGGTTGTAAATCAATGTTTTTATCAGTCTATAGTAGTGACATAACTGTACAGTAACAGAAATTCTGCCTTTAAAAGAATGGCATCATTCTAGACAAGAATCTGTGACCTGGCGGCGACTCGAGAACACCTCTTCCGGCCACTTGTGTTAAGCCCACAAACACAGAACTCAAGAAGATCGTAATCCTCATCCCAGAACAACATGGATGCCTTCTCTGGATTCTCCAAGAGAACTTTCGATGTTAGGAAACCTGCAACCGTCCATGTTTGATAAAGTCGGGATTGCTTTCCAATAAACTTCCCACTTCGGGTATCATAATACTCTGGCCAATGGTCAACTTGAAGTCTCTTTTCGGCCAAAGCAATAGCCTTCTGAGCTAGTTCCATTCTACCCATCTTCATGCATGCCAATGTGAACTGAAAGCAAAACGGAAAGTATTCAGAGGGCAGAGATCAATCAAGAGATTCCAGGACAAAAGAAACAGCCATCACATGAAAAGTCCAAAAACAAAAATAATTCGTCTTTGGACCACCAACACTGATTTTATTTCCGAAAAATGGCAGCACTTTGGAACACTGATTTTATTTCCGAAAAATGGCAACAATTTGGATTTCTTTTCTTTCTTTTTTTTTTTTTGATGGGGGTTCCCATGACTCTTTTCTCATTAGCATGACTGACCAGAAACCTTTAGACACTAGATTCCATTTTAACCCACAAAACTACAGAAGGTTTACTGAGTATGAATCAGCATTGCATGCTCGTCTGCTGGTTCCAAATCAAATTTGTTAAGCCTTAGCAAAACATACATATAGCAAATGAAGTCAAATGTACCTGCCACAGAAGTGTTGGCCATGACCCACCATTATGATATGACCAAGGGCTGCAATGTACAATCAAATAGAGAAATTCTATAGTTAATAAAAATTCTAAATTGAACAATGCATGCACATGCACAAAGAGTTTTAAGTCAAAATTATAGACACTCACGTGTTCTTTGGGTCACTGCCGGTGATTATACGCCAATCCTCAGACTCCAGAGCAGGGTAACATATCTTAAGAGGCATATTTCCCACTAGATCATCCCATTTGGATTCAATCAGATTTAGAATAGCTTCATTTTGTTTTGGGGTACCCAAAGATGAGACAACAGACCAAAGATTTCCAAGAGTGAAAAATCTAAAATCCATGTGAGCTGGCTGCAGATTGCCAATCAGATATCCACCTTCCTCAGGTATCCAATCCATGAGCCACGATGGAATTTGTTCAGGATAAATATTAAATTTGTTGGTGGCTTCTGTAGAATACTCTTCTGTTTTATACCGGTATATCTCATTGATCTTTCTCATATCTACCCAATAGTATTCTCTAATGTGGAATGACAGTGCACTGAGTCTGTTGTTGATAGCCCTCACCAAATTCTTTGATCCATCATTTACAACTAGCATCTCACGGGAAGACCGTAGAGCAGAGTAAAACAAGGCCTGCAGAAAGAGACTTGTGGTTGTAAGGTAAACCATAGATGAAGGGTGACACTGGACGGTGGCGAACTAATCTAAACTACGTTGTTTCGGATTGGTTAAGCATTCATTCCAGTTTGGTAATAAAATGAAAACCTTCCATCATCTAGGGAACATGTTGGGTGGGGGAACCCAGATGATGCAGCTGGATTGTTGGTATTGTGAAGAAACCTGCTTTTAATTTACATATCTAATAATAGCCGATTTTGGAGATGATTTTTTTTGAAAAATGTTTTTTACTTAAAAATATATTAAAATAATATTTTTATTTTTTTAATTTTTAACATTAATACATCAAAATAATAACAAAATATCAATTTCGGTGTCCTACTGATGTTACCTTTCTTCAATGCTGGTCTGCATCTGGTGCTTACAACATCCAAATTAATTTTGGTTAACAGGGTCACGGTTGGTTTAGTTAGAATCGATTTAATAGGTTAGGTCAAAATTCCGACAGAAAACTAATGCCAGACTGCTATAGTTGAAACCGTCGGTCAATTTAATGGACTGGACAAGTTAGGATCAATCTCATTCTAGTTTCTCAACCACATGATTTATTCACGAAGGCATTGTTGTGCGAGTCTCGTTCATCTGTTCACAGTGTCGTCATATTAAATAATACTCTAAAAAATAATACTTTAAAAAACGTGAGAAAAACATGTAGCTGTCCCCCTATCTGTATTTATATATTATAATTACAATAATAATAATATAACTTATACATTACTTAATTATACTTGTCATAATAAAATAATAATAACATATACTAAAATACTCTAAGCTATAGTTTTTTTTCGTTTTGTTTTTTATGCCTTTATAGGTTTTTTTTGTTTAACATTTTTTTAATTTAGTTTGTTAATTTTAAATTTATTTTTTAATTATCAAATTTTCATAACACAAATCCCGAGTTTGACAGGTTAATTTGATATGACGAGTTAATCCTGATTTTTGTTTTTTTATTTTTTTTAATTAATTTTTTTTATTTAATTTGGTTTGTTAATGTTAAATTTCTTTCTATTTAATTATCAGACTTTCATGATACGTATTCTAGGTTTGATAGGTTAATTTGATTTGATGGTTTAACTCAGTTAACCTATTAATTTTTTTTTATTTAGTTGTCAAACTTTCATCACGTGAATTCCAAGTTTGACCGGTTAATTTAATTTAAAAAGTTAATTCAGTTAATTCAGATTTTTCAGCTAAATCCACATTCAAGATTATTGGGTTTAGTGATACAATTAAATCCACTTAAACTTAAATTATACAAGTTTAATATTATTATTAATATTATAAATATTACTTTTAAATCAGGTAACGAGTGAAACACAAAGATTCTTGGATATAGTCTCACTCAAAAATCTAATTCTTTTAAAATTTTTATGTATATATAAAAAAATAAATAGTGATATTACCCCAATGATATAACTAGATAAGAACATACGGTGTAATGATGAAAAAATCATCATACGAATCCAGTTCATCATGTTCACGCATACAAAGTGTTTGACCCCAAGATGATTTTGCGATGGATTTCACAGTTTATATGACTGGAATCACAACGTTGTCTTCAAATCATGTTTAGTTTGGTAATTCACGTGTTCTTGCCCTTGATTGATCTCAAACATTTACATCTTTTAAGCATTTTTCTACCAAGAAAATATAAATTTACAGACAATGATGCTTCAAGTGTATAGGTGACAATTCAAGGCTTTCTTTGCTCAAAACGTTTTTAGTTTTTTTTTTTTTTTTTTTTTGTTTTTTTTTTTTTTTTTTTTTTTTTTTCTTTTTTCCTAAATTACAATTTTGATGGGTTTGGATTTGACCCAAGAAACACATGACCATAGAAAGTTGCTGCTAAACAAAACAGGAACCATTGACTTGAAAATGACTCGTAGATAACATTTATAGGCCACAAGCAAAATGGTGTTTCGGCAAATTTGTATGCACACAAGGGTAGATGTTAAACTTGGGTGCTATATCAAGGCAACAACTTTCCACCCTTTACTGCACACATCTCTCACAGGGTAATCTCCTAAAGAAGTTAAAAAAACTTTAAACAAGTTTTCTGAGGAAAATGTCTCTTGTCACAGAAGAGATCAAATCCAAAGCTGAGGTCTACTATGGAGATGAAATGGGAAAAGAGAAATCGCAGGAGCTGCTTAGGGAAGTAGGCTTGCCAAATGGTCTTCTGCCTCTGCATGACATTATAGAGTGTGGGATTGTGAGGGAGACAGGTTTTGTGTGGCTCAAGCAAAAGAAGAGCATAAACCATAAGTTTGAGAAGATTGGCAAGCTTGTTTCCTATGCAACTGAAGTCACAGCTTATGTTGAGCCCAAAAAGATCAAGAAACTGACTGGTGTTAAGACCAAAGAGCTCTTGGTTTGGATCACACTTTGTGATATCTCTTTGGATGATCCACCAACTGGAAAGATAACTTTCAAGACTCCTACTGGGCTCTTCAGGACATTCCCTGTATCAGCTTTTGAGGTTGAAGAAAAAGGTAAAGGAGCAGCTAAGGGAGCCATGGAAGTTAATGGAGCTGTGGACGTGAAGGAAGCCTAATAAGCTTCTCAGTTTTCAGTGACACGTATTATCACCTCCTGCTAGCAATTTCAATGTATTATCACCTAAGTGGCCTAGATCTGCTGTCTTACTATCAATTTCAATGTATTATCACCTCCTGCTAGTGTTTACTAGTAATAAAGTACATTATAGTGTCATTTCTCAATCATGTTGTCGACAAGATCACAGCACGGACACTGGTATGGTCTAAATGCATGCTGCTTTCTTAGCTTAAAATGATGAGAAAAGATGAAATGAATCAAATTATGTTTCCAATTTAACCTTTAATGAATCCCAGGTTTATGATTTGTATCAATTGTGAGTCTCATCTCAGAATTCTGAACGGATGATAATTATGAAATTTTCCCTTGGAATGTTTAGCAGGGGAAAAGTTGAAAAGGGCAGTTGGAAATTTAATGGAGATTATGTCATTTTGCCTAAATTTTGGTCCAAGCATCGAAGCTCATTTTTGCCTTTTTTCATTGTCTATTTTGGTTCAGCACGGAACCTAGCTATGATTCCATAAACCTTCCTCTATAGATCCATGGAACAAAAATTGCCTATTTTTTTATCTATAAGCTTTGATTCCATTGAATTTCATCAACACATTACCTATTGTGGCTGGACATTATTAGTGTAGACTCTAATCTGCGTACTGCATAAATCTATTTCGCAGCATTCACTTTCATAACAGTAAACATATAAAAGCTCCGAAGTCCTGTCCTTGGCCAAGGACTATAAAAAACCTAGAGTCAAAAAAGGAGGGAACAATTGATGTTGGTGGTCCATTTAAGATAACAAATGCAAAACCAATATTAAAGAATCACATGCATGCACCGGTTACAGAAAACTCCCGGGAGCTAATAATGCCATAAGCAAACGAAAGCAAACGAGTGCGGAGAAGCAATGGAGGGTTCAGCTCTATATGTAGAAAGAAACCACCCATCGTTATGAAAAGCATCAACTTCTTCACTAAACTTAAAATCCCTCTTCTTCTCTCTTGGTGCTATTGGCCTTATTTGGAACTCATTAACGGTTTCTTCCAAGGGTTTTGTCCCTTCTTCATCTTCAAACAGTTTTTCATAGCGGACTGTGAATTCTGGGGTTCTTGTTGCCTTCACCACTGTTCCTATGTAGAATGAGCCTCTAAACCCTGCCTCGTCCGACATGATTTCTACTTTTGAGCCTGGTTTGAAATTTGGGTCTTGATTGGATTTTGATTTTGGCGCCATTTTTGGTGGTCTGCTAGGGTTAGGGTTTGTTCAGGATTTGATTTTCTGAGATAGATTTTGGCGCGCTAGGGAGAGGGGATGGAAGGGGAAGGAAATGAACCTGTTGTGGATGAGGGAAAGAAACAAGTTTGGGGGTGGAAAATATAAAAACGTGTCTAAACGTTGAAACATTTGGGAAACTTTTGGAAAGTGATGAAAGTATAGTTCCAGTTGTATAATATAGGATTTTTATTTCTTTTATTTTTGAGAATATATTATAAATTATGGTATAAATTGATTTTTGAAATATTTTTTATTTGAAAATATATTAAAATAATATATTTTTTATTTTTAAAAATTTATTTTAATTTATAAAACCAATCTAAATATATAAAAATGATAGTTTTAGTTTTAGTTTTTTTAAAAAAATATAATTTGATCACAATGTTAAATAAAACTATATAATTAAGAAATCCACGTACACAATGCACTATGATTGAAGGGATTGACTCTTGAACAATCAACTTAAATTATAATTATTTAAAAAATACGTAAATTAATATTGTTTTAGGTACTGTTTAAAAATATATATATAAATTCAAAGTCAAATTTATCTTAATCAATATTAACTTCTAAAATTATAATTATATGTAAAAGTGTATATTATGTAATTTATCCTCGTAGATGAAATCAAACCAAATAAAACACGAGTGGAGAACATTACCTGCAATTGAAAGGAGTGAAGCAACTCTTCTCACCTCTAACAAGCAGGTAAGAGCTCAAGGAACAAAACCACAAATAAACGCATAAGCATGGCAGCTTATCTCTTGGGTTGCTGCAGCCAGAGTCACCAAGAGTCTCCAACATCAGACAGCATCACTCCACAACTTTCATCATCATCAACAAGAACTCTTAGGAAAATTAAACTAAATGAATACTTGCTATTTATTACACGACCACAACAATTAAGGTTACTAGTATAATTCTAATTTCAATGGTGGTGGTTATCTGGAAATGAAAAAAAAAGGTGCTGTTTTATTCATTCACATCGATAAAACAATTTTCTTAGAGACTGCTGGTTTTAACAAACAGCAAGTAGAACAACTTTATAAGGATTCAGAAGGTCCCAGCATGCAGCAGCTGTACAACATGTACTACACTGGCCCGCGCATCCATCCCTCCCTGAAAGCAAACTGTTCAGAACTCGCAGCCAACGAAGGGTGCAA